CTTTTGTATTCTGGTCCAAGGACCGAAGGAGCAAGCCAGACATAAGTTGTGGGCCGAAGGGGCAAGCCAGACTTATGTTGTGGGCTCGGGAGCAAGCCAGACATGAGCTGTGGGCCCATTTGGCAAGTCAGACTCATGTTATGGGCTATGGGGTAATCCAACCAGTAAAGTTGTGGATCCATAACATGTTGTTTTTATGTGTACTATTTTTTATGTATCGGTATTTTGGGGGTACTCACTAAGCTTCTGGATTATAGTTATGGATTTTGTTTAAGGTACATCGGATGATCACGGGAATGCGAAGGCTTGATCGTACACCTCCTCATATTTTATGTTATGATTTGTGGGATTTCTCTGATGTTAAACTATTTTGAAAATAATTTGTAAACAATGTATGGTTTGGAATGTTTGAAAAGTTTAACTTTTTCATGAATTTTATAGATGTTACAACGGTTCCAAAGAGTCTTGATCATGTTGGGCTTTATCCAATTATCATCTATAATTTTTCTAAACAATGTCACTGTGTATTTTTCATTAGAATCTCCAATCCATCTCCAATGATTAAAATGTTGGGGTGCAAAGTTATCCATGTATGACTTTGTAATGTGTTGACTTTTGTAAGACCCACTTGCAGGTGGTGCATTAGCCTTTTGACTCATGAGATAGAGAGTGAGATAGACATGTAAATACCTTTATATAAGGTAGGTTCATTCTACATGTTGAGGTGTGCTTGAGAGGTGTAAAAGTAGAGTGTATAAGTATGTTATGTATGTTAGATCTAGATCCTTTTTTGAAACACGATACATATTCAATACATCTCTTAAACACCCAAATCACCATGTTCATTGTGTAATCTTTAATTCCGCATGCCAAACCATGCTCTTTAGGTCACTACAATTGGTATCAGAGCGGGTCTTCAAAGATCAACGTGATTTGTTGAAAAACGATTCTCAGTTTCACAAAATTTATCATAATTGGAACATTTTTGGTGAGTCTCTCTCCATGATCTCTCTTAATCTTGATGATTTGTGTGTTGCGTTATTGATTTTTCATTGTCTTGATTCATTGGATCTATTTCGTTTTAAACCCCATTATTGGTCCAATAATTTTTTTTTATCAAACCTCAAAATCAAAATCAAATTCAATTTCTTTTGTGTTACTGTTCATCATAGTTTACATCGAGCCCAATGTACATTTGTGTTACTGTTCGTATTGAGCCCATTGTTGATTTTGATCCATTTTTCAAAACCATTATTGTTCATCATTCATTCTTACGCCCACTAGTTTCATTAGATCTGATTTCACTGTTTGGGGCGCTAAGAATCAATTAATCAGATATGATGTGTATTCACATCGTTCATTCTTAATCAACTACTTCAAGAGTTTGTACATTTCACTGTTCTTGAATTCTGTTCATACAAATACATTCTCTTCTCATAATTCTTAACAATCAATGCCTTTTGATTGTTAAATTGGTTTTGTGTATCGGTTCTTCTATGGGAAGTTGATGATGATCAAGTGAATCAGTTGTGTATGGTTGATTTTGTTAAAATTGTTCAAAAACTTTGAAATTTTTGTGAAGAACAGTTCATTAATCATGGTTTTGATTTGAAATCGGGCAATAGAATCATGAATTTCGTGTTTATGGTCCTTTGACTTTGAAAAGTCAAACTATGAAATATTCAAATCCGATAGTCTGGAGTTGATTCAGTGAACTGGAGATTGAAATCATTCAATATAAGTTGATTTGGGGCTATAGATCTCGAAATCAAGACTAATTTGGTGGTTAATTTTGAATTTTCTTGGATTGGAATTCTCCGTGCCTATAACAGTTCATACGTTTTTGTTTGATTCTTAAAATCGATTTCGAAATTGGTTGGATTTGTGGTTGATATTGATGGTTGAAATCGAGTTTTCAGCTGTGGTTATAGTAACGAAAGTCAACTTTGATTTAGATGGTTTTTGAAGATCGACATGGGTCTTGCCGTTTATATGACAAATGTATAACGAAATCACTTTGGATTGAGTTCGCTATATGTGGTCTCATTTGGTGTGTAAATGTCAAAAATAGCTTGGGATCGAATTCTTTAAATTTTTGGAAGGATTGGGTTGACTTTGAATATTGGGTATTTCGACTCCTCTTAACGAGAATAGTTGATGTTAAGATTCAAATGGTTGATAATTTGGGTTACAATGTTTCGTAAATTTGATAACGAATCGAGAAGTATTGCTAAGTCTCGAAGGCTTTGTATACTGGGACTAACGAAGTTATTTTTTTTTCAAAGTGTCGATATTTGTAACTGGGTAACGAATGATCAAGAAGAAGGTTTCCTTGTCTCTGTAACGAATTGAGAAAAAGGAAGAAACACAAAAATTTTCGATATTAGTCCTTATTGTTTCGAAAGTTTGTCACATTTCACACATTTCGATATTTTGAGTTACTTTCGATAGTTTGGAAGAAAGGACGAAAACATTTCGAAAATAGTGCCAAAACTTTCAACAGTTTGGCACAACATAACCAACTTCAACATTTGGGTTAAGTTTCAACATTTTGGCAGCCTATACCCAATTTCGAAATTAGGAGTTAATTTTGACATTTGGAGTATAATTTCGACAGTTTTGAAGAAGTATGCAGAATTTTGGAAAGTAGTCATTGAAGTTTCAAAAGTTTGATAGTTTTTTTTTTCAATTTTGAAAATGGGTTGATTTTGCTGAGAAATTGAAGAAAATGCATTTCAGGCCCCTGCAGTTTATGTGAATTGACGCTTTCTACCCAAGTTCAGAAAAGGGGGAGAGTTTTGCATTTTAGGCTGTTTTGAGCGCACTAGGTCACTGTAGAATTTTGAAAATGACAATTTCTACCCATTTTTGAAATTTTTTTGTCAAAGTCGGTCCGTGAACAAAGTTAAAAATTGAAGATTTTTTCGGTTTTCAGGATTGAAGCACAAAGTTTATGCCACATGTTAAGGGGAAGTTTTGACATGAAAAATTCCGAATAGAGCACGTTCTCTTTCGTTGAAGGTTTTATAATCAAATTTTGATTATAAAAAGGGGGAGAAATTTATATGGAAATTCGAAGTTGAATTTTTCATATTATGCGGATTTGAAGACCGAAGTGACCTTGAATTTTTGAAGTTTATGAAATGATGCGATTGGAGATTCGGAAGTGATTTCGGTTCGAAATGGGTTTGGATTTACTAAATATTTTACGAGTGTGTTTTTATGCTCAACATTTGGGTGATTAATTGGAGCTTGGGATGCTCTTAATCGTTCATTGATGCTAGGTTTGTATAGTCTCACATCCTAGAACCCAAATTGATGAATCATGGAAGAATTGAAGATTTGAAATTTATTTCGACATGTATCACCCTTGAGGCTCGGATAGCGTAATTGCTCGATTTTGGATGATTTGAAGTGGGTCATCAATTCCTAACTTTGAGGGGGAGAATGTTGGGGTGCAAAGTTATCCATGTATGGCTTTGTAATGTGTTGATTTTTGTAAGACCCGCTTGCATGTGGTGCATTAGACTTTTTACTCATGAGATAGAGAGGTGAGAGAGAGACATGTAAACACCTCTATATAAGGTGGGTTCATTCTACATGTAGAGGTGTGCTTGAGAGGTGTAAAAGTTGAGTGTGTAAGTGTGTGTTATTTATGTAGATTTAGATCTAGATCATTTTTGAAACACCATACATATTCAATACATCTCTTAAACACCCAAATCACCATGTTTATTGTGTAATGTTTAATTCCGCATGAAAAAACATGTTCTTTAAGTCACTACACCTGATAATAAAAAGATTGTTGATATGAATCTATAGCTTGTTCGAACTGGTCCGACCAATACCACCGTCTTGACCATGAATGTTTGCTACTACGTCATGCCACATACTACTATTTTAGGTTCTAAATCACCACCACCATTTAACTAGCAAGGCATAATTAAAGGTCTGCAAGCTTATGATTTCCAAGCCACCATTTTATTTCTTGTTAAGCACTTTTTCACACGCAACCCATGCAATCCTTTTACTATCTTGACTACCTCCCCAAATAAGTTACATCTAATGCTTTCAAGACTCTTGATGATAATAGTAGGGGATTTATAAAGGGAGAAAGTGTATGAGCCAAGGCTACCAAGAACGGATTTACATAAGATAAGACGACTACCAATTGAGAGATTTTTAGCTTTCCAACTAGATAGCTTCTGGTTGAACTTGTCAATTAACCATATCCAATTAGATTTTCTAGACATGGTAGCTCCGATACGAATTCCAAGGTATTTTAATCAGAAACGAACCAACATCACATTTTAAGATATTAGCCATGTCAACCATATCGGATTCACTAACACTAACACCTATCACTTTACTTTTTGAGATATTTACCGTTATCCTGGATGCTAAAAAAGCATCTAAGAATTTTGATAAGCTTAGTCGTGTTTTGTCGACCATTCCCCTATAAAAATGACATCGTCTGCATATTGAAGAAGGGACAAGCACGGGCCCTTTTTACTGAGATTGAAGCCTTTATAAATCCCTTTCTCTAAAGCCTCCTCAAGTGGAATCTTAAGACCTTCAGCAACTATAATAAAAAGAAAGGAGGATAGCGGGTCACCTTGTCACACACCCCTTTGTAGCTTGAATTCTTTGATAGGAGTTCCATTGACAAGTACTGAAACCTTGGCTGAAGCAAGAGAAGCACAAATCCAACTAATACACATTTCACTAAATCCCATGAGTTCAAGCATATGTTGAAGAAACAACCAGTTAAGACTGTCAAAAGCCTTACCAAAATCGACTTTAAATATGAGCATTTTCTTTTTCCTTTTTTTAACCCATGTAATAGCTTTATTTACAACAAGGCGACCATCGAGAATATTTTTACCTTGGATGTACACCGTTTATTCATTGCTGACAACTACCCAATTACTTTTTTCAATCTTTTAGCCAAAGTTTTAGCAATGATTTTGTACATGCATCTGATAAGATTTATCAGCCTAATGTCAACAAGGCTTAGTAGATCGTTTATTTTGGGCACCAAGGTGATAAACGAGGCATTGCTACCAGAATTGATGATGGAATGATCTTTAAAACATTCGACCTCCTGAAATATGTCTATACCAACAATATGCCAAAAAGTTTTGATGAAACCAAATGTAAACCCATCCAGTCCTGATGCTTTCTCATTCCCACAGCTCCAAACCATTGACTCCACATCTTCTATATTAAAAGGCCTCACAAGAAAATAATTTTGCATGTCTCTTTTTTAATTTTAGAACTATTAAATTTTGGTTTGTTCATCATCGGCTCCTCGAACTTCTTTTTAGAAAAATCAAAAGTTTCCTTTTTAATTTCATCCGCCTTTGTAATTCAAGCCCAGTTAATTTTAAGACCATTGATTCTTGAGTGCTTGATATCAGCATTGATATTACCATGGAATAAAACTGAATTTTCATCACCAAGTAGCCATTTGCATCTTGACTTTCGCTTGAGGTCGAGGATACCTGATGTTTCAAGATCTTTTATTTGATTAATGCATTCGTCTATTTCTTTAATAGAGGCGTCATCTATGAGCCCCTGTTTCGCTATAGTATCAATAACAAAGACTTACCTCTTTAGCTTAATCATAACTTATCTTTCTTCTTCCTCTTTTATGGCTCTTCTCCTTTTCAATTCCAATTTCAGCATCCATAATTTTTTGCTTAATTTCTCAATATTTGAGAAAACGTTCAAATTTTCAAAATCAGCATCCCTTTTGACTACATTTTCCAACCCAAGATTTAGTAGCTAGGAGTTGAAGAAATGAAACAGATGGGCCCAAAATCTGGTCCATTGGCGTTAAGAAGCAACGTGCAGTGGTCGGAATGTATTTTAGGCAATGCAAGAACATTCGAATTAGGCCACGCCTTGAACAAATTGTTGGAGATTAGAATCCTATCTAATTAGCTGCATTTGGATCCATCTTTGGTCATCCATGTAAATCTCCTGCCACCAATATTAAGATCCAACAGACCTATAGATTCAATAAACTTGTTGAATAACAATGCACATTTAGGATCAAACACTAAACCCATTCTTTCTCCTGAAGTTCTGACCTCATTGAAATCGTCAAACAAAGCCATGCCCTGTCTAAATCAGCTCCAATAATAGTAGAAAGAGCATTCCAAAGATAAGATTTGTATATCAATATGTGATTTAAGGCGACATTTTGTCGAAGTTTGACGGTAAATACAAAATTTGAAGCTCTGACGGAGCCATGTTGAGCTTTTTAGAACATTGGTAATATTGACCTTGATACTCTTATTAATGATTTTGCATCTTAAAATACTCGAAAATAAATTAAAAAAAAAAATAAAAAATAGTTGTTAAGTTGTTTGCATCCGAGGCTTGGGCTGTTTCAAAATTTTATTTATTTCCACAGGTGTGCACACTCCAACGTATTATTGTATTACATTTTGAATTAATATAATTTTCTGAAATTACCATCCTTTTTTTTCTAAAAAAAATTACTGTCAAAAACCTTATTATTTTTTTTTAAGTGTAGCCTAAAATCTACTTGGATTGGCCATGTATTTAGTAATAAATGAATATTTTGTTGGTAAAATGATGTGAAGCAGACACCATCCTTGGGTATTTTTGGGGAATAGCCCTTGAAATTCGGATAATTTTATAGACAATAAAAACAATGTAGTCCCACCAGACCAAATAACCTCAGCTTTCTTTTCAAAGTAAGCATTTCTTGTACTTTTAAGTTGTACCAATTGCTCTTCCATATATATAAAATACATCATCAATGAACATATGTCCACGCCCAAACAAAAAAGCCCTCCTATAGATCATTGATATATCTCCATTCTCTTCTTCTGCAACTTTCATACCTCTTTAGAGATTATTGCTGCATCCTATGCATTGTGACTTATAAACTTCAGATAATCTTTTATTCGATCTGTTTTCACTCATTTGACTCGGGTATGTTGGATGTAATCACGTTTATTTTTAGTTGAAGACTCATCAATTTGTGTTAAAGGTTTCATTTTGTTGAAATCGGCAGGAAATCAGAGTAATTATGGAAGATTTGGGCTGGGAAAGAAACATGTGGTCGTTCCCATTGAGTAACACCAACCATCATCAGCAACAGCGAGAAATCGGAGAAAGCTTCGTTTTTGGTTCAGAAAATGTCATCCTGAGCCAGTTAACAGCTGCAGCCGGCGGCCGTCAAATCATTTCTAATCCTTTACCGCCGGCGAGAATCGATTCCATAAATGTACCCTCAAGTTTTGGTACTGCAAGTCAATATTGGTTTCAGGGGATGGCTGTCAATGGCTTCATTGAGGGCAAGAACGTAATTCCCATCACCATCACCACCACTGATCCAGCAGCTGCAACCGCCAACGTCACGGTCAACTCACTGGAATCACTCGACTGCTTACTTTCCGCCACAAATAGCAATGGCGCCGCCGATACGTCACCGGATCAAGACGAATGCATTTCCGTCATTTTCTCAGATTACAAAAATCTATGTAACAATAACGGCGTTTCATCTGGCGATTCCATCACAAAAGATATGGATGAAGGCATTATTTCCAAAAGCTCATCGGAAAAACTAAGGAAAAATACAAACGGATTTTACGACGACAACTCATCAAGACTGAAGAGACCCAGATCAGATCCGGGTCTACCCACTTCCTCAAATATAAATTTCCGGCAAACAATGGATTCCGACGAGCCAGATTCGGAGGCGATTGCTCAGATGAAAGAGATGATGTACAGAGCGGCAGCTTTCCGGCCGGTGAGTTTCGCCGATGAGGAGGCGGTGGAGAAGCCAAAGAGGAAAAATGTGAGGATATCTAGAGATCCACAGACGGTGGCTGCACGGCAGCGCAGGGAAAGAATCAGTGAAAAAATAAGGGTCTTACAGAAACTGGTCCCCGGTGGAAACAAAATGGATACAGCTTCTATGCTCGATGAAGCTGCAAATTACTTGAAGTTCTTGAGATCACAAGTTAAAGCATTGGAGCAGGTGGGACAGAAGCTAGATTACGTGAGATGTGGTACAACTATTACTGCAAGCAGTACAAGTCAAATTATGCAAAACATTAACCCTAATATTACTCTAGGTGTACCATTTCCCATGCAAACCACTTTTTTACTACCCCATCATCATCATCAACACCTTTACCCTAACCCACCACCTGCTTAAACCACTTGTACTTGATGCTGCAGAAAAAAGACTAAGATCCGGTCGCCAAAATCTGGTGTTAACTCCAAGAACTCATGATAGAGTTATGATCAGTTCATCATGAATCAAGAAACCCCTAATTTTATTTGATTAAAGATTAATGGGATTTGATCATAATTGTATCATCATTGTGTTTCACTAAATTTTACACATTTTGCAATACCTAATTTTTAATTGTTAACCATGTTTGTTGTTCTTTTATATATATATATATATATATATATATATATATATATATATATATATATATATATATATATATATATATATAGGGTTAGGTTCATTTGAGACCACCTATATTTTGTAAGACCGTGAGACGCATTTTTTTATTTTTTTTTAGTTAGTTCATGTTCCGAAAATAATATTTAAAAAAAAATTTTGATTTTTCTATTTATTTTGCATTTTAAAATTATTTTTAGAATATGTACATTGTAATATTCTATTTAGAATATTTCACGTATTTTTCAAAAAAAATAGAATTTTTTTTTAATTTTTTTTAATTTTTTTTAGTTAATTCAAGTTCCGAAAATAATATTTAAAAAAAGAATTTTTAGATTTTTTCATTTATTTTGCATTTTAAAATTATTTTTTAGAAATATGTCAGTGTAATATTCTATTTAGAGTATTTCACGTATTTTTAAAAAAAAAAAAAACGGAATTTTTTTTTATATATTTTTTTATATATTTTTTAGTTAATTCAAGTTCCGAAAATAATATTTAAAAAAAGAATTTTGGATTTTTCCATTTATTTTGCATTTTAAAATTATTTTTAGATTTGATCTCACAGTCGCACAAAATTATAATGGTCTCAAATTAACCTGAACCTATATATATATATATATATATATATATATATATATATATATATATATATATATATATATATATATATATATATATTTGATAGCAATGGTTAAGAAGTCCATCGATTGCATAAATTTGGCAAATTAACAAAATGTATCAACAAAATGTATAAATTTGGCAATTCAACAAAATGAATCTTTAGATATTATAAAAATAACATGATTTGCAAATAATAATAATAATAATAATAATAATAATAATAAATGCATCAATGCTCGATATTTCTGTTGATGCATTAAAGTTGTCTAAAAATTAAATCAAAACTTGAATTACTAAAAAAAATTAATCATCAACGCTTTTTTCCAAGAAATTTTTTATGAATCATTTTTTTATATAATCTAATGATTCATTTCCATCGAATGACCAAAAAACATATAAATGGTACGATTCTTATCCTTTCTATCAAATATTTACTTCATATTTGATTTGGTTGTATGTATGTATATGTATATGTATATATAGATAGTGTGTGTTTGTGTGACAGAGAGAGAGAGAGAGAGAAGTTCTTTTGAGAACAAAAAAATTTGTGAGAACATGACAACTCTTAATCGGCACCTGATTTTTCAACACCAAAATCACCAATATTAACGAAATGTAGTGCCTATGACATATCTAGGTTCAAAAAAAAGATCTGACAAATTTTTTTTGGAAAATGTTCATATATATGCACTGCTGATGCATTCATATATAACTGTGTCTGCAGTCCATAAGACTAATGATTTATGCATACATATCTGCATCAGTAATCCATATGATTGATGATTCATATATATATATATATATATATATATATATATATATATATATATATATATAAAAGAGTCAAATTTGTTAACATATATTATCTTCTCCTACCTTAATTTTCAATATTTGAAGAAGAGAAGAGTTTTGGATAGGCAGTCCTCTTTTGCAATGTTCATCGACCTACTCTAGATTTCACTTCATTTGGATTGGTTCTAGCTCAAAAGAGCATATACATGGAGCTATGTCGACTTACATACGTCTTGTTGAGTAAAGAATCAGGTATACTGTGACATCCCCAAACTCATGGTCGTTTAAAATTTTTATTTATGTTTATCTGAAATTCAGAGTACCGTTTTTAAAGAATAAAATTGCGGAATTTTTTCCGAGTAAAACATGATAAATATGCTATTAAAGCATTTCCGAAGAAATGTATTTTGTTTATATTAAAACTTTGGGATGTCATCTTCAATACAGAAACATAAGCATAAACAGATCTTACATTTATTTACAGTAGTGATTTACATCTCTTTTAATATCTCAGTGTAATGTAGCTTCGTATCGACACATGTGATACAAATAAACGGAGTGCGTCAGATTGGGAAACCTGGTGAGTACATAGTGTTTTCAACCCCTTATAATATAATTATTATGCTTAATCATCAAACAAGTAACCTAACTTTCCACCCCCATTATCTTCTTTATTCTTAAGGATCTATACTAATAATCATTTATTCTTCCTTCATTCATTCCTAAGGATTGTCCTAAGGAATAGGTACGAAGTCCATCGTTGCCAAGATCTATTCAACAGACATTAAGTCCATAGCTGCCAATGTTATCTGATAGGTACTAAGTCCATAACTACCAATGTCCATCTATAGGGCACTAAATCCATAGCTGTCAACGTTCATTTGTAAGGCATTAAGGATTACGCTGAGCTTACTCAAAATTAAGTTGGGATTAATGTGCCACGTGTTGCGATCTCGAGCAAAGCCGTGGGGAAGAAGGTGCGGCTCATATTATACCACGTGTCACTAGCTGGTTACTACAAAAACTAATTAGCTTCTAAAATCCGTAACATTCACATATGTGTAACGACCAAAAATTTCAACAAAATTTTAAACTTTTCAAACATCCCAATTTCTTTAAGTTTTTACAACAAGGTTTTCAATACATTTAATATCAGAGTATTCCCAGAACCATAACATAAATCATAAACATGAGGAGCGGTACGATCACGCCTTTGCCTTGCCACGGTCTCCTAAAGAACCTGAAAAAACATTAAACCACAACTGTAAGCCCGAAAGCTTAGTGAGATACCCCCAAAATACCAACCACATATACCATACACACATAACATGCTATATCATAACAAATCACAAAACAACCATGCATATGGGGTCTACTGTGTGACTGGTCCGCCGTGTCGGGCCTTCAGTCCACCGGGTCCACCCTCCGAGTCTAGTCATGTCCCTTGAGTCTACAGTGTAGTTGGTCCGCTCGCACCGGGTCTTCAACCCACCTGGTCCACTCTCTGAGTCTACAGTATGACTGGTCGCCCGCATCGGACCTTCAGTCGGCCTGGTCCACTCTCCGAGCCTCGGCAAGTCTGGTCCGCTCTCGTGGGGCCTATAGCCTATCCGGATCGCTCGTTGGGCCTTCGGAATAACCGGTCCGCCCTTGGTATGTTGGCCTACAGCACAAAGCAGGTCCCGCCTCAACCCAACCCCATTCAAACAACCATGTGCACATAAACATACAATCATATAACAATTCACATTCAATCAAACCGATCTAGCAGATAACGTAACACAACATACTCTAAGCAGGATACCGACCTAATCAGTCACTAACATAGCATCACCCTATATACCAGGATACCGACCTTAACCAGGTCTCTAACATATACCATCCTAACTACCAGGATGCAAACAAAGTAAAACATCAACATAACAACAATACCCGGATTACAATCCGATAAAGGGCCGACCTTAGTGCCTTAGACCCTGTTAATATAGTGAGGATAACTCACCTTGCAATTGTTAACTGAAATGATAAGATCACGCTGCTCCAACCTCCGACACGAACTCCACCCCTGATAAAGCCAAAATACTAAACCCAATAAATACCACAAAATACCAAAATGCCCTTAGAAGTCAACTGGTCAACTCTTGATCAAAGTCAAAGTCAAAGTCAACCTTCTAACTCACTCTACTCGCCGAGTCAGCCCGCTGACTCGCCGAGTCCCCCAACACTGAAAAGTCCCATCTCAACTCACTGAGTCATCCCTTGACTCACCGATTCTTAGCTTAACCAGGAAAGGCTAAGACCTCAAGACCAGACTCGCCGAGTCCAAGAACAAACTTGCCGAGTCTAAGGTTATCTTCAACCAACTCACCGAGTTGTTCATCCAACTCGTCGAGTTCCTGCCCACCTTTAAGCAACTCGCCGAGTACACCCTTGTGACTCGCCGAGTACCACTCGCTCTTAACCCATACAGAAGCCTTCCAGGCCATGCAGTCGATCCAAAACGTAGATCTACCCTTCTACAACCCATCCATCACGTAAAGTGGCAAACTTTACGTGAATCCAAAGGGAACAAGGCATTTTACACTCTAAGGGTAGGGTTTGGGACAAGATGACTTCACCAAACACTGAACAACAGGGACTTTAATGCACTCTAGACCTTCTCCATTCCAGATCTGAGGTAGCAACCTCAGATCTAACCTTCAAACTCGAAATACAACAAGCAAAACTTTCCGCACATTCCAAGATGATGAATCTAGATGAATAACAGCCCAAGAAACGAAGTAATACCTCAAAAGGAAGCCTCAACAGAAGAGAAATCTGATTCTTAGCGAAGCCCCTTGTTCCAAGCCTCCTATCTCTCCAAGATCTCCTTCAAAATCTCTTCTCCAAGGTTTAAATGCACTCAAATCCCTCACAATCACGTCTTAGGGTTTTCTGGACTTCAATAGAGGGTAAAGAGGCTGGGGAGAGGGTATAATGTCCTTTATATAGGGCTCATCCCCCGAAATTAGGGTTTTCTCCACTCAGCGCCTACTCGTCGAGTCCAGCCTCCGACTCTCCGAGTTGGCCACTTAACACGCGACCAGAGTCGCGACCCTACTCGCCGAGTCCAGCCATGGACTCGCTGAGTTGCCCTTTCATATTTACACTTTGAACCCTGAACTTGCACTCCTGAACTCGGGATGTTACAATTCTCCCCCACTTAAATTAGGCTTCATCCTCGAAGCCTGCGGAAACACAACTCCAGAACTACTCTCGCAATGCACCTCCTGGCATTAACCAGACCAGATTCCTCAAAACACAGCCATCGAAACCAGAAACCTGAC